ACTTTTTTTTGCCAAGTTGATATTATTCAACAAATGGGTTGAATAATATCAACTTGGCCAAAAAAATATAAAAATCATAGACAGTATCACTACAGGTTCTCCGTAAAAATAATTTCTCTCCACCTGCTACAAAACTTTTTGTATCTGGGACTGCGCTCATTTCTTCACATTGTTTCCTTAGGTTAAAATAAGTTTTATGGTTATTGATATTGTCACTTGAAATATAAAATATGTAAAAAATCTTTAATTTTTTTTTCAGGCCATGTAAACAGTTCATTTGGTGTGAGTTTGCATTTGCTGCTCAAAGACTCGCTTTTGCTTCTCTTTTTATAGTTCCTTCTATTCCATCACATGGACTTTTGCCATGGGATGTAGCGAGTGATGCTCAGCATTTATATTGTGATCTTCAAGATGGTACATTAAGTTTAACAGACATTTGTAATTTTTGTACTGTGACACAGCACCATCACTGAAGTATTTTACTTTATTATTATTGTTTGATTTTGATCATAAGGAGTAACTTTGTGAGAAAACAATGAACTGTTATTTGGTCATGGTGAAGATAGTCAGAAATTGTTCAATAGCATTCACATATGAATTGATTTTTTTCATCTTTGTAATAAACAGCAAATGGATGTAAGGTAGCTTGATCGGTTTGCCAGTTAAACCCTTGTACAGCATCTTGCACAAGAAAACTATAGTTCTCTGCAAAATCCATAAGAATAAGACAAGTGTGTTGATCTGTTCTTTTTGCCTCTGATAAGTAGGAGGGTTGTGCTTCTTTTATAAAGTGGTGGTGATAAAGGTCATGCAATGTTTCACTTAGAATTTCAATAAACTCAATAATGCTTGTTTGGACTGTGATAAGTGCAGTTCGCTTTTTAATTCATTCAAACTTTTTCGAATATTAGAAATTCCTTTATGTAAAAAGTTAAATAATCTAAATTCTGTTTTAAAATAATCTAAATTCGGTTTGTCAGTTAAATGCGATCAATTTTTAATAAAATAATTTTCCGGGATTTTCCGGGATTATCATAGAAAAAAAATTTCAAGGATTTTCATAAAGTCAAATACTCATCTATGTTGTTAAAATCAAAGTCATTATTTACAAACACATTTTCCAAGTAAATCTTCAAATTTACTTTTCCAGGGCAGTTAGAACATAGATGAAACATGCAGCTTCAACTATCTATATTACAAACACATACTTTCATCAAATATTTGTAATAAATAAAATGGCCCTTCACTAAAGCAACACACATCAACTTAGCATTTTGATGATAAGAAAATAATTTAACTTAGTGACTTCCACTACTGTCAACTGAGATGCACCACTTTGACTTTAGTTCACAGAGATTGATGAATCCAACTTTGTGTTTCGGGTATTACTTCTTAAACTCAAGCTAAAGTTAATTTAATTGAATAATTTTTGTTTATGAACTTTTACTTTAGTTATACGCACATAACTTTTTTTCCTGGACATTGTCTTTTTGAACTTTCAGGATTCATAAATTAAAATGACTTTTTGTTTAACTATATATTCCAAAGACTGTCCTATTTTAGCCTCAGGTTTAGCAAGTATTCCTTTTTCATTTTTCATCTTTCTCAACAAGATGTTCTAAAACTGAAAATATTTTGCAAGTTTTTTTAGGAGTTAGTGTTAGTTGTTGAACTTTTTCTTTCTTTAAACTTATTTTTATTTTTATTTTTTATTGCATCTAACAGTTTGTCTAAATCATTACAGTTTGTACATTTTTGCTCTTTTTCCAATACTTTTGGGTCTATATCCAATGCTGAGGCTACTAGGTTTGTCATACTTGTTGCGATTTTTTTAGCTTTTTGCTTTCCATATCTTAATTTGTCGAGTCTACTTACATTTTTAAATGGAGATGTTTCCAATAAAGACATACTCTTATTAAGAACTGTTATTATTAACTATTAACTATTATTAATGATTAAGTATCAAGGTCTATACAACTAAAATCTTTTTCAACAGCTTTATCTTGACAAACTTCTGCAATTTTTTAAAGTTTGAATTCATTCATACAGTTAGTACAAACTTTTTGACCAGGTTTGATATTAGGTTTATTTGCTATTGATGTTGACTTGACACAATCTCTTGATAGTTTCTTTCTTGTGGACTTTAAATGGATCATAACAGTATTTTTAAAGTGCTTCACATCTAGAAATATAAGCTTTTAAAAGTTTTAGATCTTACAACCAATTAAGCAGATATTAACAGATTACAAAGATTTAAGAATACTGTCAAAAATATAAAGAGATATATTAAAAGGCCAAGCGTGCTTAATCTTCTTTAAAAAAACTCTGAAAAATGCGCACAAATGAGTAATGGCAGCAACAGCATTAAATTAAACATTAATTATAAGTGATTAAAATTTTTTTTTATACACAGATATTATAAAACTGCGTTTCTTCGATAAAAGCAAAACATGGAGGCATGTGAAATTGCTATATACATATATACTTCTATTCATATATATATATATATATATATATATATATATATATATATATATATATATATATATATATATATATATATATATACATATATATATATATATATATATATATATATATATATATATATATATATATATATATATATATATACATATACATATACATATATATATATATATAGAAAATACAAAATCAACTAGATCATAGTCTAAATGTGTGGCATGTTTAGATGGTTTAGTTCTAAAGCTATTTACAAAAGATTTTAAGCACTGAAGAGCAATTAGTTATAGCTGAAATAGTTTGTTGTTTTGATCTTATTGATTTAAATTTACATTTGCTGCAGCTGATAATAACTATGCTTATGTTTCTGGATTCTAAAAATGCTAAAGCATATCAAAAAATATTGGATAAGCTGGAGTACATGATTTAGTTCCGAATAGCCCGTTGTATTCAAAAAGTTATTTAAAAAGTGTTAAAATGTTTATCTTTCACAGTTTGATTCCGATTTGATGAAACAACTGTATTACAAAAAAAAAAAAAAAAACAATATTACTCTTATGCCAAATACCATTTAAATGATTTACATTTTGTATTAAACTAAATTAAAGCTTGAAGATGTTGAGGGTTCCATAAAACAGTTAAAAATCCAAATAAATTCTGCCAAAAAACTTGTGGAAAAAGGAAACAAACAATTAAAAATTTGTGTCACGAAAATGTCAAAGTTTGTATAAAAACCAAAAAAGTAAAATTGGGACAGAAACTTTAAAGAAAATTAAGAGCAGAGGTAAAATTTATCGAAAATTTTTTCGGTAAATTTACCGGCAAATTTTGAAAATTTACCATCTGGTAAATTTTGCAATTTTTTTTCCCCTTATTTTTATTTTTTTTGAAAAAAAAATATTTTTTTTAAAGGAAAATTTACCCTTTCCTATTTAAAATTTACTGGTAAATTTTGAATCAAATTTTACAGGAAACTTTACATCTATAGTAATATATAGTAATAGGAAAGAAAAGAAAATTTGAGTTAAAGTAATGAAAGAATGTTTAAAATTAAAAAAAATTAATAACAATGCAGTTTTATGTTATATATTCAATTTTTTGTTTGTTTACTTGATTTTTTTGAATGATACTATCAGTCATGCACAAAGCATCATACTACATACATCCGTTTACATTACTACATACATCATATACATACATTACTACATATACATACATACATCCATTCATAGTAAAGATGGAAGATGGAAGATCTTACAATAACTTATTTTATTTTCTATCAAAAAGAATTTGAGTCCATCATTTTGTTATTTCTTCGTACAATAAAGAAGAACAATAAAATGTTTCATCGGTAGTTAAATAACATCGCAAATATCCACAAATAATTTTTTGAATAAATTAAGTTTCTTTTATTTATTATATGGAATTTATAATCTTTGACGTAGAATTTTTTTAAGTGTTTTTTTGATATATATGATTGTTATATGATGATTTGATATATATGATGGTATATAAGCATTTTTTATTGTTTTTAAAACAATTTTATGTGTTCATTTTTATTTAGAAATATATTTTAAATATATATATATATATATATATATATATATATATATATATATATATATTCATATATATATTTTAAATATATATATATATATATATATATATATATATATATATTCATATATATATATATATATATATATATATATATATATATATATATATATATATATATATATATATATATAAAATTGAAAATACATCATGTACGGTGACATACTACTTATTTAACTTTTAAAATTTTTTAATTTTAAATGTGATATTTCAGCTCATATAGTTGGAGCCATTTATATAATAAATATATATATATATATATATATATATATATATATATATATATATATATATATATATATATATATATATATATATGTTTTAAATACTTTTTATGTTTAAAGATGTTAGGGATTAAGCCAATATAATGTTTATTAGATATAATGTTTATATATAAATCATATATTTTAATATCCATTTTTTGCTCTTAAGATAATTTTTTTGTTTATAATTGCATATTTGAATATTTTTAGATACCAAGTTGTAGATCTTTATTTTTTCTGAATTTTTTTTACGTGTAACTGATTTAAATAGTATTTATATTTAAAGTTCTGTGTAATTAGAAAAATGTCTAATAATTTTCAAAATGTTTTACTTATAGTTGTCAAAACATTTTTACTGTATGTGAATTTAACTAAATTATGTTTCTATTTTACTTTTTTTCCATTTTCTTTTTATGTCAATTTTTATTTTAAGTTACTGTTAACTAAATTTAATTGAAATCAATTTGTATAATTATTGATAATTAATTTGATTTAACAATCTAATTCCCTATCACTAAGGTATAACATGCAAATAATTATTAAGCATTATGAACTTTTTACATTAATGTATATTGATATAATTATAGTTAAGTTTTTAAGAGATTACGATGCAATAATTTTTTCTTTTGTTTTTAGGGAATAGGAAGGGCATGTGAAACAAAATCTATTAACTTTTTTATACTGTTTTTACCAACAGAGGTATGTTTTCTTTAAAAAAAAAGCTGTGTTATATAAATTTTAAATGGATTACTATTTACCTGTAAAAAATGTCACTTTTTTTTAAAAGGTAAATTTGTGGCAATTTACCTTTACTTTTTTTTAAAAGGTAAAGGTAAATTGCCACAAATTTTTCTCTTAATTGTTGTTTTATCTCTCATCTTTATGTTTTTTTCTCAATTTATGCTTTTAACCTACCTACCCAACATTTTATGGTATTTTTTTTAATTTAGTGTCTCCTTACTTTAATAATTGATCCACTGCCCTCCCATATCATATATGCCATTTGCAGACCCCCTCTTCCCCAACAAATGTACATACTTTATGGACGATCCCTTAAAATATATTTTTTTAATTTTGAATAGTAATTTATATTAATATTAGTTTTAGATGGTTTTATTTTTTTCTGCAAATTTTTGAAATACGTCAAGCGTGCAAATAATTTTTTGTATGTGGTCAGGCAAGGCATACGACTCCACACTTTTTCCTTGTCAGGCCTGTATATGTATACAAGCCTATAGTGTTTATATGTGTGTGTTCACAAGGGTGTTAATTTAAAAAATTATGTTTGAAAAAAAAAAGAACTTCAATTTATCATCTGCCCAGACCATGATGTAATACTTAAAAATCTGAATTTCATGTGTGTAAAAGGGTCATTTCATGTGTGTAAAAGGGTCATTTCAGGTGTGTAAAAGGGTCATTTCAGGTGTGTCAAAGGGTCATTTCAGGTGTGTAAAAAGGGCAATTTTGATGGTTTTGTTTTTTAATATTTATGTTTAAATTATGCATTAATATTATGAAAAAACTTATTTAATAAAATTCTTAAAAAAAAGTTATATAAAAATTGTTTTGAAAAATCTTAAAATCCATGAATATTTTTACATTTTTTAAAATAAAGTTTCAAATTTTTTCTGTGAATAATGTTTTCTTGAAAAATATTTTATATTAAAATTTATAAATTGCCACTAAAAAAAAAAGTTGAAAGTATTAGATTGGATAAAATATTTTTAGTTAAAAAGTTAATCGAAAAACTTCTAGCAAAAAAATTTGCAACTGCTAAAGAGATAATTCAATATTGCTTCTTTTTTCGAAAATCAAAATGTAAACCAAAAGTGAAGTTCTTATTAGGTTGTCCTAACAAAAATTATTCTTTTATACCTAATTGTCCAGTTATTATGTCTGACAGTCTCTATAACATTCTTTTGACTTTTTTTTTTCTAGTAACTACCAACTTAATAGTAGTTGATTGCAGCCTTGTGCAGCTCATTTTGTGTGTACAGCTTAAATACATAATATCTTACTCTAAACATTTTTACTTTTTTGTTAGTATTTAAAGTTTATACTTTAGACTTAAATAAAAAAAGATTGTCTTAACTTGAACTATTATCTCATACCAGCCAAAACTTGAGTTGAAGGGTGCTAAAACTAAGGGACTGAAATTCGGAGCGTGGATAATTAGCTGCTTTTCAGTTTTTTAATATTATTTGTTTTATTTCTAATTTTTTAAATCTTATTTTTATTTTATTTCTATTTATTCTAATTTTTCAAAAGTAGCAATTAATAATAATAACAAATTTTAAATATATCAAAAAACTTTTTAGGACAGAACTTTAAAAAAAAGTACCATGAGCTAGCTGAATTTATTTTAATGGTTCTATCATCAAATAGGTTTCAATTTCATTAAGGTCTATGAGTAAAGTTTATACTATTTAAAATTGTATCTTTTAATGAGTGAAATCAGAAACCTGACAAACACAAGGAAGAAATAACTGGTACGGCTTTATTCATTTATCTTTTAATGAGTGAAATCAGAAACCTGACAAACACAAGGAAGAAATAACTGGTATGGCTTTATTCATTTATCTTTTAATGAGTGAAATCAGAAACCTGACAAACACAAGGAAGAAATAACTGGTACGGCTTTATTCATTTATCTTTTAATGAGTGAAATCAGAAACCTGACAAACACAAGGAAGAAATAACTGGTATGGCTTTATTCATTTATCTTTTAATGAGTGAAATCAGAAACCTGACAAACACAAGGAAGAAATAACTGGTACGGCTTTATTCATTTATCTTTTAATGAGTGAAATCAGAAACCTGACAAACACAAGGAAGAAATAACTGGTATGGCTTTATTCATTTATCTTTTTTAGGTCTAGTGATTTCTAAAAGCTTTGTTGTGGCTAATTTTTGACATGTTTAAGCATGGAAAAGGATAAAATCAAGGGACTTATTTGACTTAACCAGAGTTTCGGAGATTTTTGGAGCAACAGTCAAGAGACTTGATTTTGTTAGTGATTACTTTCAGAGGACAGTCAAGTAAATCAGCTATTACAAAAAAAAATCATTCAAGTTATGCAAAGTTTAGTACACAATGATATTTGTGAATGTACAAAAATGTAAAACCTAATAAACAGAGCATATTCTGAGAAAAAAGGCATAGATAATTTTCTCTTTACAAATGATTATGAGAAAAACAGAAAAAGTAGGAAAAAAATAGAATATGAAAAAGCCGGTAGTACGAATGAAGTTTATATTATTATATATAAATATATATATTTTTTTGGTAGTTACAATTTTTTAAGAGAGAATAGAGATGATTTTTTTATAGAGATGATAGTTTTACTAAATAGAGATGATAAATTTTCTTGAATTGTTGTATTTTAATTTAAAAGAAGTTTTACTATTGATTTAAAGTTTTTATAGTTTTATAAACTTTTAACTTATTTTAGTTTAAGAAAAAAGCATGATTTTGATTATTGGTTACAAAAGTTTTGTTGCCAGGCCTGCTCTTATACATATTTCCAAGAATAGTCCCTGAAATTGATTATAAGTAGATTACTCATCATGTACATTACCGTTTATCTAATTATAAACATAACTTGAATTTTATTCCTAGATGAAATATTAATTTCATTTATTGGGTTTGTCAAAGTTTAGCCAGTTGCGGCTATGGTTTATCAAATCCAAAAAAAAACTTAAAGGCTATAAAATATAAATATACTGGAAAAGCATACCACTGGAAAAGACAACCAAACTTGATTCTAACAAAAACCAAAATTGAAACGCTCAGGTAACAGTATGCCAGCATAACTAATTACAAAATATATAACTTGTGACTTAACTTCAACATAAAATATGCACACTGTAAAAATACTGTAAAAAAAGTGTTCAAACACTTTATTTACAGTAGTTTTTTCATACAATGGAAAATAAAAAATATAACACATTTAATGTTTTTAAACTATTTTTATTCTAATTATATACTATATTCTGACCATAAAAAAACAAGTTTAGTAATACACATACATTTAAATGTTTTATTTCATAGTAAATTAACATTTATATCAGATATATATGTTAGGTACTTAATTATTTAAATAAAATATTTTAGATATTAAAAGTAAATCAAAAATATAATGTACTTTTATGAGTTTTAAGAATATTTTATGAACTTTTATGAGTTTTGCTATTTATGGATTTTAGGGTTTTTTGAAACAATTTTTATAAGTTTATAATTTTTTTTCAAGAGTTTTTTTAAAATATAAGTCTTGACAAACATAAAGTTGAAAAAAATTACTAAATTTTAATGCTAAAACTTCCTACAAACTGTTTTTAAAAAAATGGTACAAAACGTCCTCAAAATTTCCTCTTTTACTTTATGAGTGTACACTTGCAAATATTGTGTACTTTACATAATTTTAATGTTTTCATTTTGTAATAGCTGTTAATGATTAAAAACATTGGTTGTAGATTTAAGCACATAAAACCATAGATTTTTCAGCTTTTTTGTTTGATGTTTAATTAACTGATATAAATTAGTTTGATATTTAACAAATTCTACTGTATAATTAACAAAATAATTGTTACTTTCTTTTGTTTCCAAATCTCATGAGGTTTTTAATCTAGATTAACTCAATAAGTAAAGGAAAAAAATTTACAGCAAAAAATTTTTTTTTTCATTATTCTTTATACTTTATTTATACTTTGAAGAACTCTGACTTTTTTATTGTTTTTTTAAAACTTAAAGTGTGCAAAATATTGTCAGTATAGAAAGGAAATGCACCAAGTCCAAAAATATCATTTTGAGATAATGAGCAAATAGGTTTTTGCATAATAGTTAAAATAATAAGTTATTGAGATTTTATTTAGATTATAAGATTTTTTATTTAAACTATTATAACTATTATAATAGTTGAAATAAAAAATACTCATTAGTAATTGATTTATTAAATTTGTGTGGTGTATCAAACGGTAGAAAATTTGAAATGCTAAATAGTCGTATGTTTTTTTTCCTTAAGTGTAAGTTTCTGGATTTTCTTTTTTTTGATTTTTGTTTTTGTTTTCATTACTATTCTTATTTTTAAGCACTACTCTTAATATATTTTATTTTACTATTTGCTTTTTGCTTCCCTAGTCTTAATACCCCATACTCTATATATTATACTTTTCTCCCTTACTATATCTGTTCAAATATCTCGATTAAACTTTTAAACAAACTTTATAACTCTATCCTACTATCTGCTACCTCACTCACATTTATAGTATATAGTTCGCATATATTTATTTATCCTTGAGGATTTTATTAATCTGTCTTCCTTGTTCTTAATATTATTATTATTATTGTTGTTTTTTATATATATTTGTATATATTTTTTGTGGCATGCTTAAAGATTCTTTTAGCACAGTTTCTTTTTTTCTATTTCTTTCTGCTCACTTTCAGAAGTTGCGTTCATCGCAAACATTATGAGATCTGCAATGCCCTCTCCCCTTGCTCTGCACCAACTAATCATCCCACCCGCCAACACTAATCGTTTAAAGCATCTGTACCACAAACATGCGTTCCCTATGTAACAAAGTTGAGATCCTTAACCAATTCCTAACAGATACCAGCATTGATATTGCCTGTCTAACTGAAACGTGGCTAAGCCCTTACGGCAAGCAGATTATTCTCTCACAAATCAATAGTAATTACACTTACATAAGCACCCAATGTCAGGATCGTTTAGGTTGGGGTACTATTAAACTTATAAATAAAAAGTATTCAGATAAAACAGAAGAAATAAAAATAACCTTTAACTCCCTACCTAACTCAATACCTAAACAAGAAATTGAGCTAACTATTGCTTCTGCATACCCAAAGCAACTGCCTCGAGGATACACATCCTGCATAATAATTTGCGCTTATATCCTGGTCTGATCTAAAAGTGCGCATCATACCAACTTGCAAAGTTCATCGAACCAGCAATAAATCGTTGCACAATCGGAAACAAACCACAAATTCTTGCAGGAGATCTAAATGGTTGCCCAACTGACTTTATTTGCCATTCACACCAACTACCTAAATTACCTTAATGCACAACCTATCCGGAAGTCAGCAGCCTTTGACATCATTTTAAGTAATGCTCCAAAATGTTGTGTTTCCAATACCTTCTCTAGCTTCGGAAATTCAGATCACCTTGTTGTAGTTAGTCAGCCACCACTTAATCTCTATAAAGCCAATCGCCCTGCTTCTCAAAAGATTGTACATCAGTCATGAAAAATTGCTGAAACAGTTGAATTAATACGTTGTACCGATCTTGAAACCTTGGTTGACTCACCATATGAAATACAAAATGCTTGCAACAACTTCTATCATTCCTTACTCACTGCCAGGACATCTGCCAACCACTAAAAGTAACAACACTTGTTAATCCCAAGCCTTGGATGATTCCGTTTATTCAGAGCCACATAAAAGAACGTCAGCGACTTTTTATCTAGTTATTACAACGAATGGAAAACACTAGTGAAGCAAGTCAGCAAACTAATAATAAAAAGAAAATGTATTTATAACAGACGCTTTTCTACAGGAAATACAAATTTTTGGCAAGACATTTAACTTGCCGATAAAGGACAAATCCCTGATTCTATCACTGAGATATTAACAAACGAGTTAAATAATCACTTCCAAAGTGTTTGGAACAATAAGAAACAACCTAATCTATCACTCTTTATCAACCAGCAAGCAGACCCGCCTACTACCCCTATTTTCACCTATAGTAATATTCTCAACCAATTTAACAAACTAAAAACAGGATCGTGTGGTCCAGATGAAATCTCATCACTGTTACTCAAATCCTCCCGCTTAGAAATTGCCCCATCACTTTGTATCTTATTTAACCCCCTCAAAACAGTTTTCTCCCCGATCAATGGAAATCAGCGAACATAACACCAATTCCTAAAACCAAAAACCCGCTCTCATCTAATGATTATCGTTTTATCGCCATTACATCTACATTATGCAAAGTTTTTGAATGCATTATTGCCAAATTTTTATCCTCCATCACACCAAGCACATCTGGGTCTCAAACAAACAGTTTGGTTTCCTCCCAGGCTGTAGTACAATGAATGCTATTATTCAAGTTATAGAAGACTGGAGTCACACAAAAGACAATCACAAATCAATCTTTGCAATATTTTTCGATTTTACAAAAGCGTTTGACCTTGTTGACCACGTAAAACTACTACTGAAGTTAATAAATATTCTACCATGCTGGCTTATATTCTGGATTGCAGTTTATTTATCTAACAGATGCCAAAGAGTAAAAACAAGTGATCACACCACTAATTATAAATATATTCAGGCCGGAGTACTTCAGGGTAGTGTCTTTTGGCCCTATCTTATTCATTCTTTTTATCTCGGACATTAACACCTATCTTCGAGCCGAAACCATACAAGAAAAATATGCTGATGACATCCTGACCTACATTATCTATGATAAAGCTCCTGCCAACTTATCTCAATCTATCGTTGATGGCGTTGCACTCCGGTCATTGACCAATGGTATGAAGCTCAATAGCTCAAAATGTAAAGTTATTAGAATTAACTCAAGATGCCCCGTCATTTTCTACCATCTGTCATACTTGATAAGACTGAGGTTGAAACTGTCTCCAGCTACAAGTACCTTGCTATCATGTTAAATGAGAATCTCGATTGGAACGAACAATGGGTAAAAGCGCACAACACTATAAAATCAATTCCATTTCTACTCAAGCGCCTTAAGCAAATCGGTCACACGCAATCCAACCTCCTGCAAGTCTACAGGTCTTACGCTATTAGCCACATGATATATAGTGCTCCAGTTCTTACGTCATGCAGTATTGCGGCAAAAAAAGAGATTTAACATTTCCATAAAAAATGCATTGCATATCATTGGTATTGACGCAACCAATTCGAGCCACTTCAATATTTGTTTTAACATTAAAGAATTATTACAAAAATCATGTATTAATATCCTTAAAAATATCCTTAATGACACATACCATCCAATAACCAATAAACTAGCCCGCACTAATAGTAAAAACCCCGATAGATTTCCATTTGCTCTTAATAACGCTAACACAACAACTTACCAACAATCCTTCATTCAAAAATACCTTTGTATTTTACGTGATGGTGTTAGTGATCTTTACCTGCCACACAACATTGGCAGCTCAGCTGCATTTTCAACACAACAACACACAACAAGTAATCTGTTTAATAAACAGTGTTTATTTGCCTACGCTCTAGTGCTGCTAAAAAATTGTACAATTCATTATTTGTAATGCTAATCAATTTTAAATAAAGGTTTATATAAAAAAAGAAAAAAGAAAATAAATAACTACATACTGCCAATAGTGGACTTAGTGCAATTACCTTGTATACCGATGATATATAAAGGCACTTCTCCCTCCCCTCCCCATACAATTTTTGTTACAACTTTAAATATTTTCATGACATTATTTGTAGTTATGAGAGTCTAATCTATTCAAACTTAAAGAGCTGTATTTATTTTTTTTTTAGAGTCAAAGGCTGGAGCCAATTCGCATTGAATTTATTGGTAAAATTTATTTTTGATTATAAAAAGATTAGTTTTTAATAAAAATATATAACAAGTTTACATTATGTATTCTTTTTTAGTTACTGCAACTGTTCAAGATGTCATTGGTTTAATTTTATACAAATTATTTAAAGAAGGACGCTGTTTACATCTACAAGTATTTGAACTTTTAAGTTAAAAGATTTTCTTGGAGTTCTTGGGAATTGCAATAAAACACTCTTCTTATTTAAATCCGGGTATAAATAGGGACTCCAGGACTTTGAATCTTGGAGTCCTAATCTAGATCTTTTTATGTTGATATGTATGATATATGTCTGCAATATCCCTGACATGTGGATTTCCATGATATTTACAATACACGAAAGTTGTGGTTTTAAGGAGTAAACTAATTTAATATTTTTTGATAAATAATTCAGAGTTTGTTGAAAAATAGTATTTAGAAATAATAATAATAACTATATAACAGTTTAAACCGGAAATAGGTTAAAAATAACAAAGCAAAAATCAAATAAGAGTGACACACCTTATTTATTACTCACACCCTAACCATCAGTTAGGGTGTCCCTATTTTTGTAATGCATAGTTAGTGACACAACTAAATCTACCTGTAACATCAACAGGTTGAACAGCAAGTTTAACAGCAGATGACCTGACCAGATCTGCAGTTAAAGTTGCACATAGTTTCTTTATTTTCTTTATTTATGTTCTTTATGCTTTATTATTGTTACAGACTGATGTGAAGCAATATGCTCTGCATATTGCAGAGGAAGATGGTGAAGTTGAGTTTGAGTTTCATGGTTTGTTTTATTTTTTTAAATAACTTTTCTTTTTTCTTGTTCTATATTACTTTGTTGATGTTGTGTATTATTGTTATTGATAATTTATAGCTCTTGATGAGACAAATTTGATGTCACATTTTGATTTCCATTACTTGGCATTAGTTGAGGTAGGTTTATTTATTTTTAGGGTATCAAACTTAGTTAACTCTACTATTTGACTTTAGTTCTAATTTTCAATCAACTAATTATGTCAAGAAAAAAATCATAATTATGTATTTATGATTAAGTAAAGAATTCATATTCTATTATAGAATCAACAAGTCATATAAAGAATTCTGAAAATTCTAATTAATTTTAAAACATTTAATTCAAAAAATTATTTTAAAATGAAAGAATTTTATTTTCATTATAAAAATTTTAATGTGAAACAAAACTTTTGAACTTTTAAAAGAAATATTCTTTATTTTATTTTATTTCAAAAACATTGAAATAAAACATTAAAAGTTTTAAAAGGAATATTTTTTATTTTATTTTATTTATTTTATAAAATTTTGAATGTTTTATTTTACAAAATTTTTCTAATTTTAAATTATTTTAGGACACCCTAATGTATATTTAAATATACATTAGGTTGTCTTGAAAAAATTTTTCTTTTTTGAAAAATAAAGAGTAATGATTATCAATATGTAGGCAGATTTTAATGAATATTTCAGACCTCTAAGTCAACTTTAAGTTAAGGTGTTTTAAAACAAACCTTACAAATGTCAACTTTAATTAAGGTGTTTTAAAACAAACCTTACAAATGTCTTTCTACTTTTTGATTTTTAAGTTTCTGTATAATAAGATCTTAAATTTTCAACACAAAACATTGGTCTAGATTTAAATTATAAATGATAGAATAAGATAGAAGACAGAACCTTTTCACAAAGCTCACTTTGTAAACAAGGAGTTTCTAGTTCACTCACCATGTCCCCGACAATGTCTCTTGCATGTAATTTTATGCTAATGTATCTAAAGAATGTCCTGACGTTTGTGCTCATCATGCGTTTTTCCTGACGTTTGTGCTCATCATGTGTTTTTCAATAAAGTTTTTGATCAACTTGATGTGGTAATCATTTCCTTAATGTGGTAACCATCAACTTGATGTGGTAATCATTTCCTTGATGTGGTCACCATCAACTTGATGTGATAATCATTTCCCACTGCAAGCTGTTTGTAAAAATAGAGAACTTGAGAAAATGTTTTAAGCAAAATGGCTTTAAAAGCACTCTGATTCTTACAAGCCACTATGCTTTTTACCTCTATAGTAAAAGCTCTTTCCTAGTAATTTTTAAGAGAATGAAAAGAAAACTCTATTCAATGACAATACTATCATTAGATAACATTAGAACAATGGCTGACTAAACTTCAGACATCTCAATTACAATGTATTTATTGTCTGAAATTATAAAAAGCACTTTGTTGAAAATGTTATTTTTGGCAATAGCATTCATATCCTTGTCAGCAAGAGATAAAACCACAAGGTGGGGATACCAAGTGTGGCATAGAAAGCATTTATTTAAAATCTTTTGAATTTCTGTGTTGGCTTTGAAATGATCTAACATTTGGAGCAAACAAGAGTATACATAATATTTTCTTTATATAAGTAATTTTTCCAACAAATTAAGTATAATAATAAATAAGTATAATAATTTTATTTATATAAGTATAATAAGTATAATAATTTTATTTATATAAGTATAATAAGTATAATAATAATAAATATAAAATTTTTTCTAACAAATTGCAAAAAATACTGTTTATTTTATAATTTTTTTTTTTAATTATTTCATACTCTAATTCGTAAATTAAGTTAAGAAAAAAGGATTTTCAATCTTTGTTGCTTTATTTGAAAATAAAATAACTGTTATAAACAATTTTTTATTTTATGAAAAAAAAAAATTCGCATAACCAATTTAAAAAATATTATAAAAATTTTTTTGTGTCTTTGATTTTGATTACAACTTTTTTAAAAACATTTTTGATTTTAAATATATCATATTTTAACAAATTATAATAAAAAATAAAATTTTAATCATATACTCACTCCCACCAACCCAACCCAAAAATAGCAATTAAAAAGTGTCATAAATTATCGCACAAATTTTGATATTATTTTCAATAAAAGTTTATCAATATTACAAACTAAAAAATCTTCAGAGATAAAAAGATACCTGATTTTATCGATTATATCAAAAAATCATTACATATTCGAACTATTGATAAAGTTTAGAAATATGAAATAGATTTTATTGTTGAATATATCATTCAGGCTTGGTCAGGAAGCGGGTGCGATCGCACTCTATAATTGACCACGGAAATTATATTTACTTGCGAAAAGCCGGCCAGATTTTTCAGGCGTTTTGAGAACATTTAAGTTTATGTATGTTTCCTTGTTTGTCCGCAAAATAATAATTAAGTTCATTATTTTATCGTAAACTTTAAAATATTTTGTTTTACGGACGTACATGGAAACCTATATAAACTTGAATGTTGTCAAAACATCTTAGTGCGGAAAAATAAATAAAGAATATTCGCGTACACAAAAAACCTGCCAAATCTACAAACAACTAATTCTATTGGTTCAAAAAATACTAACTAAGAATTCAAGCGAATGTTATAGAGTATTCTGTTGAATTATTTTTTAAAATCGTATAATTTGAGTTTTGTTATGTTTTTGTTGAGATTTCTAGCATCAATTGTTTTAAGAATATACTATCAAACGAACTATTATTTTAATACAATGGCTCATTCTCGGAGTCACATCTACAAAGCTATAAAAGTTTTAAACTAACATTTGTTTACAAAAATAAATGTTTTAAATTTTTTTTTTTTAACTTGTCAACGTTTAGTAAATATATTATAGATTTAATTAGTATAATCTTATTTTTTATATATAAGGGATGCATTTTTTATGTATGTAATGTATTTTTATGTATGTAATTTTATGTGTGTATTTTATTCAAATGTAATTTTTTAAAGCAATATGGCGATTGATTTTGTAAACAAAAACACTTTCAATAATAACTGCGTTTTCAATGAAATTATTTATAATCATTAAAGTAAATACAAATTATTATGAAATAAACATACAAGAAGTTTAAATATTAATATATATATATATATATATATATATATATATATATATATATATATATATATATATATATATATATATATCTGTGTGTGTGTGTGTGTGTGTGTGTGTGTGTGTGTGTGTGTGTGTGTGTGTGTGTGTGTGTACTCTCGAGTCCTAAATGTTAGGAGAGGGGTTTGTTAACTTATTTTTGTAAAATTTTCCCACCCACCCTAAACTTATTAAGACTCCCGTTTAATAATTTTTTCTTGTTATCAACAAAAAATATCTCATAATAAAAAATAGTAACTAAGTGAAGTCAGCTTTAAGAATTAAAAAACTGATTTAAAGCAATTAGCTTTAAATTTTTGCTGTGCAGAAGCATAGTGAACAAGCACTACGCTAACTGCAATGACACATCCCATAAGAAGAGAGCTCAACAAAACTTCAAGTTAAGGAGCTATATCTAACATTAGACATTGTTTCACAACACAAACATACACGAACAAAACAGAAATATACACAATAAAACAAACATAGTTACATACATAAAGTGACTTACGAGTGGATCAGCATCGCGCCAGAGGTCGAAACAGAACACAAACAAACACGAACAAAACAGAAGTATACGCAATAAAACAAACATAGTTACATACATAAAGTGACTTACGAGTGGATCAGCACCGCTGATCTTGTTGGACTTTTCAGGGCCGGGGGCTGCATTATTTTGGTGGCCTTTTTTATGTGTCACAGCGTAAAAATGACTAAAAAAATACTGATAGGTCCTCTTGACTATTTCTCAGCCCATAACATTGTGTGTCCCGGGACTATAGCTCTTCTACCCTTCCCCCCCCCCCACCTCTTATTTCCAGCACTGGAAATAAGACATAAGTATATAAATAAAAATTATATATAATCTTTGATAAATTGAAGAACATTTGTTTCTTTATTAAACAATCATTATTAGTAAGTTGTTACTATATATAAAAAATGTCGCGACGTTTCAAAAATATTTGCTCTAATCGTATTTATTTTGCTAAGTTTTTTCGCGTTTAAAGCTATTTTTCTTTCTCTCTCATCAGTCCAGTTTATCTTATTACGCTTTTTTGCTTGTTTTTGAAATGTTCTCAAAACACCTAAAAAATCTGGCCGGCTTTTCGCAACTAAATATAATTTCTGTGGTCAAATATCGAGTGCGATCGCACTCGCTTCCCGACCAAGCCTGATCATTGATGATGGTTTTAAATATATATCTCTTCACTTAGGAGAAGTATTTAGTAATTTATTTTTTGCATTATTTAGAAAAATAAATCTACTGTCAAAATGTTGGAAAATAAAAATTCTATAGAGATAGAAATGTATGCAATGGTATTATTTTTTGTTTCATTCTTTTAATTGTTTTGTTTTTTCATATCCATGTTATGCAAACTACAAATAATACATTGTAATAATATTTCTTAAGTTATATATGTGTATGTAAAAAAAAGTATATATATATATATATATATATATATATATATATATATATATATATATATATATATATATATATATATATATATATATATATATATATATGTATGTATGTATGTATGTATGTATGTATGTATGTATGTATGTATGTATGTATGTATGTATGTATATAAACACATATATAGATAATAATAATAAGACATATATAGATTATAATAGTAAGACATATATAGATTATAACAATGATATAATATTATATAATAAAATTATATTTTTAAATATTATTTATTTAAGACTAATTTAAAAAGTATAAATGAGACATGACATGTAAAAAAGAAAACACAAGTTTTCTTTTTTACGTATCTTGTCTTTTTTACATGTCATGTATTATTATATTTATTACACAAGGGATTATGAAGAACAGTTCTGGTTGTTTTATGTTCTGGTTGTTTTATGTTATCGTTGTTTTTTGTTTTTTCGTTTTTATGTGTGTTGACAATTGTAAAAACTGTTGTTATCTTTTTAATGGATTTTTTATAGTTTGCATTAAAAGGGGATCTTTTTTCTCTTGATTGTTTGTAAATATAAAACATGTGAAAATCTTGAATTTAGTTTTTAAATGCTGACCATGATCTGAATACATCACTTTGTTTTGGGTCTTTTACTTTGTTATCTCTGAGATATTTGACTGTAGTTTTGTTTTATTATGTTAGGTTAGCAATGCACAGTGGTTTATTTTTCACTTTTTGTGGACATTTGACTATACTTAGGAAAAATCTCTTTGTGCGGCATGGGAAAACAAAACATGGTCATGATATATGTTTTTAACTTAATTTTTGAATTTAGCTTCTGACACATTTGTTTGTATAGCTCAATATTAATTTTTTTGCCAGATGACATTGCTCTCAGAATAGTGGAAAGAAGCAAGCTATACTTTTTAACTAGTTTACGGTCAGTTTGACTTGATATGTGATCTGTAATAACCTTTCGCATTACATTATTATGTAAAAGTTTTCTGGCAACATTTCCAGTTGCTGTATTGCCTTCTTGTCCAGTTGATTCTGCGAAATCCCATTTTATTCCTTTTTTAACTCTGATAATTTCTTGTAGTCTTGCTTTTTCTTCCTTCAGCAATGTTATATTATTGTTTTTCATAAAATGATCAAAGCTCCTGAGCAAACCATGCAAAACCTAAATGGACCTAACATTCGAACATGCAATTGGACATGTAGTTTAACCGTGTCGAATTTTGTAATACTTTTTTTTTTCAAAATGGTCCCGTCCTCTTTTACTAAGTCAAGAAATATTTGTTGCATGGTTTTAACATCCCTGTTTAAGATGAAACCATCTTGAACTATTTGTATATTTTCACATTGTTCTTTTGAAAGGTCACACAGATCACAATATGAACCTCCAAGGCTTTGATAAATATTTAAAGCCTTTCTGTCCAAACTATGAGTGACAATGTTTACTTTAACATGGTTAATCATTTTGATTATGCTCAACAATAATTCTGTCTTCCTTCATACACTGTATGTCTTTGTTAAATAAAGAAAGAGATTGGGTATTTCCATTGACTCTTTCCCATTTGAATCATAAGTGGTCTTTGAGTAGACTCTGAGTTAGGGTATTTGTATAGGGTATAGGGTATTAGGGTTTTCCCACAATGCTTTGCTTTTCCCACAATGTAATACTTTTATGATTTAAAATTTTAAGTGGAAAAAACATTGCCATAATAATGTTACTTGTGTTAATATTGTGCAGTTGGTTATAAATTTTGTGGCTGCCACTTCCATCTTAGCGGAATTTTACTTCTAGTGTAAGGCTGTTTTCTCTAGAAAAAATGGAAATATCTTCAAGCCTCAAAATTCTCTCAATAGTAATCTTGGTAGATTCAATAAAACTTGCATAGACACCATTTGTTTTGAAATTCTACACTCCATTGACAACAAAAGGATTTGGAAGATCCTTTTTTTGTCAATGGAGTGTAGATTTTCAAAACAAATGGCAATTTTAAAACTCTTTTTTTTTTAAAACGGGTAATGGAGCCAACTTAAGCATAGCAGCAAATGAAAGCTTTTATTTTGTATTTCGGAAAGGTTTAGTATGGTGCCATATCAATATTCTTTTTTTTTTTCATCATTTTTTTCCAAGTATACTCAAAAACTCTGTTTAAATATATACAGTATGGTGATGATGGTGTGCTTTTTCATGGTTCACAGTGGGCCTGAATTCACTTATATTGGAAAAACTAATATCTCGTCATGTAGAAAAAGAATTAAAGGACTATTTTTGCACTGTTTGCAAATTTAAGGATTGCGGTTTCAATTCTGACATTAGTTTTAATTTTGGGTTGTTATCAGTATCTAAGTTGCTTAGCAACTACATATTTTGTTACCCATAAAAAATATAAACTGGACAAAAATAATAATTTTATTGGATTACTCCCATAGTTGTATATTTTTATACTACAATCCATAGTAGTGGTTGCCATGGTAAATTGGATTTATTATTTAGTTGATTTGAAATGTCTGGCACTTAAAATGCCTGGCAACAGTTCATTTTGCATAGTTGCTAGATTAGGTTTCTTAAAACATAAAAGTTATAAAATAGATTAGTATTAATATGGCAAGTTTGATTGAAAATTATTTTATTCATTTAAAAAATTAAACACATGATTACCTGATTACTAATTAATGCAGCTCTAGTTATTTATATATCATGAAACTACTTCATAATCTGTAAAAAAAAAAGAACCTAAAGCTTGAATCTATTTGTGGGTATAATAATTTAAAAAGTTTTGGTTTAATGTTATTTTTTAAACCAAGACTTATTATATTCTGATAATTGTAAAACAGCTTTAGCTTATTTGTCTTTACCATCTTGGTGCAAACTACTTACCTGATGTAAACAATTGCTCTGAAGATGAAAAAGATGCAGCTAATAGTGCCAATAATTTTTTCCTTGTTTTACTATTCTGAAGTATAAAAATTCACCTGGTGTCTGCCAGACACTACATTTGGCTAAGAGCAGGAGCAGGTTTCTTTATCAATGAAAGCAGTTAGAAGAATATTCTAATTACCAATTACAAATTGAACCAATATCATTTTATAGTCATTGTTTGTTATTCTCTTCGAATGGAATTTTAGAGCTGTTGAGTCTATGCCATCTTTGTCAAAGATACTTTAAATAGAAATTAAAGACAAAGTTATTATTTGCAGTTAAGTTCATGCACAACTAATTTCAAAATATTAGGATTAGTTTAAAATGTTTGACAAACATTTAAAAGTTTTAACTGAAAAAACTACTTTAAATATGCGGTCATTTGAAATCGTTTCATTTGACATAACTTACATGCAAATTAGTGTTGCAATAATAGCTCATTTGAAAGGCAATACTTGATTTCATTTAAAAATTCATTTTGCATTAAATGGCTTTGTTAATAAACAAAAACTGATGAATATGGACAGCTGAAGACCCAACAAATGATTAAAGCAGACTAATACACTCTAAAATGTTTTTTGTTCTACAGCTTAGAAGCAAATATACAGATTTTAGATTTATATATAAAACATTAAACTAAAATATTGTTCCACAGTGCAGAAGCACTGTGGAACACATCAAAAACATCATCACAAAAAGAATTGATACAAATTTAATGATTAAATGCGCTTTTTAGGCAGTTTTTTTTAATTTAAGGACTTTAATCAACAATAGAATACCACATTTTCAACAATAATGCAACAACATGATTTAAAGCCTATAATTTCTATTAAACTTAAATTCAAAAGCATCAAGATTTGTAAACATTCAACAGGACTTCAGCTATTGTGGAAATCAATTCAATCAACATTTTACTACATTGCAAATATGCAAATTACAACTTGTTCAACATTTAAAACCAATAGATTACTGGCAATGGCCTAACTTGTTCGACATTTAAAACCAATAGATTACTGGCAATCACCTAATTTTGCTTTTGAGCAAAAAGTTTAAGAAAATCATTATTTTATATGCAACTTTATAATGAGTAACAAAATCCATTTTGCATTAAATGACTTTTTTAATAAACAAAACTGGTGTATACCCAACAAATGATTATAGCAATCTAATACACTCTAAAAAGTTTAGTGTGAAGTATCATAAAATTATTATTATTCCATTTTTGTTTTTATTATTATTATTATTCCGTTTTGAATTAGTTTTTAGCCAGATTTGATTGCACCTTTTTTTCATTTAGGATATTTAAAATAATGTGTTCACATGAATAAATCGAAGACCATATTTTAACTTTAATATTCAAAATGAGATTCAACAAATAACACTAAAAATTTTATCCGAAGTTATGGAAAAAGTCTTTAAAAGAGCAGAATTATACTAAGCATAAAATGGACACCACATTCATTATTTTTTTTTTGCTGTTAACTAATTTCTAATTTTTCATACTTAAACACTGATTTAGAAGGAAAAAAATTTAATTTGAATGTAAAAGAATTATAGATTGCTCATTTTTAGTCTTAACTTTAACTTTTTTTTTTTTTTTTAAAAGAATCTTTTTTTTTTAAAGGGATCCCAAACCTCTGAGTCATGTTGTGTTCATAATAAAGAGAATGATAAAAAAAAAATATTTGAGCTAAATTTTTTTGATTAAAACAAAAGAATAATTGCATACCAATTGCATGGCAATCTACAGACTTGATAATTTATATTAAACAAGAAAAAAAAATTTTATTTCAGTAAAAGTCATTAATTTTTTTTTTGTTTGTGTTTTTGTTTGTGAGATCGATTATGTAAACAAACAAAAAAGTCAATGATATCATGTACTAAAACTCTTAGGAAAACGTGGTTGAATAAATTACCAAGTCTATAGATTGCGACGTATATTATGCTGACTTTTCAGCCTACAAGAAAAAACGGAGAAGACGAACTTTGATTAAAATAAAAAAATTAGGTTGTGTTGGCACAATGCATTCATTCTTTTGTTTTGATCAAAAAAATTTAGCCCAATCTTTTTCTTTTTTTTTTTATCATTCTCTTTAAGATGAACACAACATGTCTCGAAGGTCTAGAATCTAGTTTAAAAAAAAAAAATTAAATCTTTTAAAGGTTTTTGATTTTTCAATTTGTTTTTATAAAAGTTTTTTATACAATCATGTTTTTACTAACCAGGTTGAAATTTTGATAAAAGGGGAACTTTTTAGGGCACTAATATGATTCTCTCCTTCAACCATCAGTGTAATTTGCCCTTAATGGTAACATAGTGTATGAAAATTTAAATATTTTTTGCAATTTTTTTTTTTAATTTTTTGTTTTTTTTCAAAGCTATGAACCAGCTGGTGGTCATTCTATAATAAAAGTTGAAAATGCTGACGTGAAAATGAAATCAGTTTTTGGAAAGCTTATTAAAAAAAGAGCAATAAAAAAAAGTGGTTCGTTATTTTTTGTTTGTTTTTTAGTAGATGAGCTCACCAGATTGAACATACTTCAAAAATAAATTGGTTAATTAAATTTAGGTAAAGGATATCATTTGGAGAAGCAGGATGAAGAAGGAGTGGCAGTTGATTTAGAGGCCACGTTAGGAAGTATGGGGACAAAAAGGTTTTTGTTTGTGAAAGATAATCAAATTCGTGAAAGTAAAATATTGTTTCTTTTTTATCTGTTTTTATGTCATTATAAGGAGACTCTAAATGCAAATTTTAGAACTGCGAACTTGCATAAGTGAAAACTTGCATAATTACAAACTTGCATAAGTGCAAACTGTGATAAGTGTGAACTTGCATAAGTCCAAACATGGACATAAGTGCAAGTCTTCATCAGTAACAACAAAAATGCGAAGAAAATAATAAACTAAATAGATTAAACTAAATAGAATCGCATTTTTAAGCCAACTTATGCCAGTTTATGCGACGGCTTTACATTTATAAAGATTTGCATCTATCCATCCCAGTGTTTGCAAATTCTTTCGGCGCACTTATGCCAGTTTATAATTATGTCAGTTTTTGCAACTGATTCATACTTATACCAAAATAGCAGTAATGAAATTTGCATTTAACCTCCCCTATATAAGATGAGCTTTATCTAAAGTTTAACTTAAAAAGATATCTATAAAAGTGATAGGTATTTGTTAACATTATTATGGCTATATTTTATTAATAGCGCACACACATTCACACATACGCATATATATATATATATATATATATATATATATATATATATATATATATATATATATATATATATATATATATATATATATATATATATATATATATATAGACATACATACATACATACATTAATTAATTAATTAATAATAAATAACCCTCTCACTCTCAGGCAATGTCCAAAAGCACATTGTAAATGAAGTTTGACCTGCTTTTTCTGCCATGTTTGAGCCACTCTCCCATTATTGTAAAGTTGCATCTCTTTCTTTTTATTCACCTAGTTTATTTTCTCGCATTTCAACAAAATCTCAAAACTCATCCATCTTTATATTTTCTTGACTCATACAACCTGCAACTTTTTATGTCTTCTGTTTCCTTGCTCTTTAACTGTTTGTTTTCTAGTAACTCATAGCTTGATAGTAGTTTCTTGTGAATTAGTTTAAAAATATATATAAATTCATGCCAGTATTTAATAAATAGTAAATTTATGCATAAATTTATAATGTATAAAATAATATAAATTTTTTCCTAGCCCCTACTATTAATCCCTGTTAAATTTATAATTTTACCAGAGTCAAAGTCAAGTTTGTAAAAATCTTGGTGGTGTTTCAAAGCATTTTCAACATCTTATTCTCTGTAGTTTTTGTTTGGCATTCTGTTGACAGTGATGTTTTTTTATTTTTTATATCAGTTTGCAGGAGATGAAATTAGCATTAGCATATTAAAAGAGAAATGATGTTTTAGAAATTGTATTCTTTTTATAGAAATAAAAAGGAATTTAAAAAGTAAGTATTATTGTAGATCATTATTTTATTAAATAATGACAGAAGTAATTAAGGAAGTAAACATTTATTGGTTACATTTTTCCACAAATTATCGATTATTATGTAATTATTGACTGACTTAAGTAGAATATTATCTTTTTTAGTTTTTATCAAAACTTACTTATTTTACAGCATTATGAAATAAAAATATTAGATTTATTATAAAACCATTAGATTCAGGAAAAAATCTCTAGTAAACTGTATTCTTATATATTTTAAATATGGTTTTTTAAAATGGTGCACCAAAAACACTTTTACCCTCAAACAAATGTCATCAAACAAAAATATTTTTTGCATATTGATATGCTTTTACATTATGTTATTTCTTAAAACTTTTAGTTTAAATAAAATTTAAGTAAAAGTGGCCAACCTAAAATATTTAAGTAAAAGTGGCCAACCTAAAATAGTGATCGAAAATACAAAAACTCACCCATAGCATTTTTTATAATAAATAATTTTTTTTTTAATTATTTTGATTCCTTTTTTTTATTATTATTATTATTTTGTAATTATTTTGATAAATTACAACTTTTTTAGTCAACGGTTTCTTTAATAAACTTTATATAAGAATTATTAAAGTTGATACACTCAAAAAGATGAAAAATTTCGTTAAAAAATAAAAAAAAATGTTTGTGAAAGCCATTAGGATTAAAAAACTTTGATCTGCTGGATGTGCTGGGCAGTTATCTAAGATAACTAATGCTACTTTCTTCTCTTTTTGTAAACTATTTATTTCTTGTATCCACTCTTTGAACAGTATGTTTCCATTCAGGTTTTATTTTGATTTCTGTATCTGCATGGTAAGTGTTTTACTACTTTAAAACAGTGAATTGATTTTGATTGACCTATAGCAAGCATAGGTATTTGCCGCTATTCAAGGTAGACAAATTTTACAGTGTTTTTTCCCTATGCAAGCCTCAGATCAAAAATTATGTGACATTCCCCATGGTTTATGGTTTGGAGGGGTTCAAGTTAGTAAGTGATTTTTTTAAAAATTTTAATGAGGGTTCAAGATAATTTCAAAAGTATTTTAAGTTACTGGAAGTTAGTGTTTTGGGGGTTCAATTTATCAATTAACCTAAAACACCATTGTTGATGCATTTTTAAACACCATTGTTGATACATTTTTACTTTGAAGTAAGAAACCATATAACAGGCCTTCTCGTAAGAGGCGTGCGATCGGACGCTTTATAGGACCACGCATATAGTTCTTTGTTTGAACAACTTGACCACGGCTCTTTGCAAGTTTTGATAAGTAGTGCATTTAAAAAATGCGTTAAAAAAAACAAATCAAATGTAAATACAATTTTTAATTGATTCCATAATTACAATTAAATTGCCACGAGTACTTTAATGAAACTTAGTAAAAGCAATCGCTGAATAAAAATTCATATTAGAGTTCAAGGCAAAATGAATACAGAAGCTACCAAAAAATAATTACAAACCGTTTTATCATGGAAATATAATTTCTAATAAAGAAACTATTTACTAAAAAAAAAAAGAAAAATTATTTACTATAAAAAAAAATCTTGAAACAGTCGCATTTGCCAACTATTTTTTATCCCAGGGCGTGACGTATCGTTTTTTTTAATGAATGTTGACTTGCGTATCTTTATTTATTAACAAACGTCTAATTTAACCCTTTCGTTACTGGGCTCAGCAACCTTATATTACTGTGACAAAAAATGGTGTTTTAACCCAACTACCATCAAAACTTTATTATGGGTTTAAAAAATGTTCAATTTATTTAAAAATTGGCTCCTTTTTAAAGTAGCAGTTTATCTTTCATAAAATAAAACTATAACTAAAAAAAAAAAAAATCATCAGGTCGTTTGATCAATAACGGCGGATTTTGAAAACTAAATAATATTTTAATTGTAAGTTTAATCAAATAAAAATGTATATTATTTTCATCAGATATTTTTCAAATTTAGAGTCAACAATCAAACATATATAATAAGTAATTCTGAAAAGTTTCAAGTCTTGAACATCATTTTATCATAAGTTATTATATTTATTAGGTTAGTGAGTCTTTAAGTCAAAAATTTAATTTATGATGCTTTCTTCAAAAAAGAACAAAAACAAATAAAAAAATAAAAAAGTAACAACAGTAAGACATGTCAAATAAAGAAACATGGGTATACACTAATTTCTACACTAAATCTAGCACTGTGTGATAGATTTCAAAGCAGCTATCAATATGTAGCCCTGGCTCACCAGGGCAAGTTTTGCATCCATGCACAGTTTTTAGTGGTTTGCCATTGTTATTAAAAATTCGTCGTGCATAGCAAACTCTGCATACTTTAGATGGACGTCTATCTGTTGCATCATGTGATGGCAGGAGCAAGTGATTTGTTTAACTTTGGTGATGATAAAAATATTACTTTAATTATGTCGTGAAGAAAATCTGATTAAGTGGTACTCTTGTGGCAAGTGTACTTTACAAAAACTTTATGGCTATTTAAAATACCCTGAGAAATAAGCCTCAATGCTAGTTTACGATACCACTTGTAAGTTTTTCGTAACAGGTGCAAGCTCTGGAGTTGTTGGTCAACACGATCTACACCACCCATGTGGCCATTGTATTCTTTAACACAAATTGGTTTTTGAGTACTTATTCCACGAGTATTTTCAATAAGTGACATGTTGATAGCATGTAGACAACTTTTTGTTTACCTGAAGCTTTATCTTTCGATGAACGGAATTCGCAAGCCAGCATTTGACTGTTTGCATCATTATTTTTATTAAAAACTGCATCCCCTTTTTCTAAAACCTTATTAAGAATATCTTTTGTATAATTATATCGATTTGACCTAATTGTGCCACATAGATGTGTCTTGTTATCAAGAAAATACTTTGCAAGTGTTGTACTAGTGTAATAATTGTCTGTATAAAGAGTGTGACTTTTCTTTGAATATTAGTAGAAGTCATACTGTTTTCAACTTCAAATTCTATTAAGTTATCATCCTCATCATTACTAAAGTTACTATCACCAAGATCAATACTTTGATTGCTATCTTTGTCACTTTCTTCAAGTACAAAGTTTAAAATTTCGACAATATTTGAGACTTTTTTTTGACGTAAACACGATGAACTAGCCATTTTTTAAAATTGAATAACAACTAATCTAACAAAGCTTTTTTCATGCAGTTTTCGCTGTATGATTTGATTATTATTCTAGTTTCTATTAAGCTAAGTTTTAAAGTCGCTCAAAAAACCCGGGGTTGACAGAAAGCTAAACTCTTCATCCGCATAGCGGCGTTCTGGTATTTTAACAACATATTTTATTACCCGCTATGCAGGGTATCGGTAACGAAAGGGTTAAGAGATTTATGTCAAACAAATTTCAAATAATTTTTATTTTAGTTAATAAGTTATCAAATATATCAAAGATGCTTGGTAAATTAATTCAATTGTTATTTTTCAAAAACTTTCTTTAACACATTTGTAAAGCACGCTCAAATTAATGATAAACGCACAATTAAAAAAACTTTTAAAAGTGTTTCTAATATGCTAACAAACATTATTTCACTTTATGGAAAATAATAAAATAAGGAAAAAAACGTGCATAATTTTATTTATAATGAAATCATTTGCTTTAAACTTTTAATGTAATTGCTAAAAACAGAAAAGAAACCATGCTTAAACATTATGATCGCTTCAATAAAAGAAAGCAATCGAATTGTTTTGGACGGTCTCTTTGGAAGTTTTTGCAAAAGCATTTATTTTATGTAAAATTATGCATACTTTTGTGAGCGCATGCAAAAACCATGCTAAAACATAATTACTTTCTATTTATATTACTTAAAAGTGACGCTATTGATAAAGTAATTATGTTTTGGCATTTTTTTAAAAAAGTCTCTATAATTAATTGTTTTTCATTTTAAATGAGTGTTTTTTGTAATAAATAAAAAACTAATGATTGCAAAATTATTTAGAAAAAATGCGTTCGTTTTGAAAAATATTAATCAAACGACAATATTTGTATAAGCAAACTTAAAGCAAAATTATTTTATCATTCTTTAAATATTTTACTTTTTTAGATTAATTTTTGTTATATATATTATTTTAAAGATTTTATTCTCCTTTAAGTTTATGGATTGTTTATTTTAATTTGCTTTGTTTTTTTAGCGCAATTTTTTAAACGCGCTAATTATTAAAACTTGCAATGAGCCGTGGTCAACTTGTTCAAATAAAGAACTATATGCGTGGTCATATAATGCGTGTGATCGCATGCCTCTTACGAGAAGGCCTGATATAATTTATAATCAAATAGTTATTTGACTATTTACTTTCACATTCCACAGCCCACATCATCATCATCATTCCATAGCCCAAGTGTTGAAATATCCATCACTCAACAGCCCAAGTGTTGAAATATCCATCACTCAACAGCCTAAGTGTTGAAATAGCAATCACTCAACCAAGTTATTTAAAAGATGTAATATGACTAAGAGGTCTTCCAATTGAAATATTTCAATGTAAACATTCCAAATGAAATGTTTCCATTTAAACCTTCCAAATAAAATGTTTCAACACAAACATTTTCACAGATATTTTAGATGTATTCCAAAGTAATCTTTTCACTTTTATTTTAATTTTAGTTTAATAGTTTTTAACTTTGGTTAACATTATTCCAAAGTTATTAATTATTCCAAATTATTTATTATTACTAATATTTTAAAGTTAAAAAATTGAAGTTCAATTTTTTTTTGTGTGTGCGAAAACCCATAAAAGATGCTAAATCTTCAATAAATAATTAAATACGTTGTTTTTGTTTTAGACCCCATTTTAGAGTAAATAAAAATAAATATGAAATAATTTATAAAAACTATTTTTTGGTAAAATTTTAAAAAGATTTTCAATTCAGATTCTATTTCAGATTTAATAATTTTATCTTTATTTTATATTATTTATTTTTATCTTTATTTTATATTATTTATTTTTATCTTTATTTTATATTATTTATTTTTATCTTTATTTTATATTATTTATTTTTATCTTTATTTTATATTATTTATTTTTATCTTTATTTTATATTATTTATTTTTATCTTTATTTTATATTATTTATTTTTATCTTTATTTTATATTATTTATTTTTATCTTTATTTTATATTATTTATTTTAATTAAAATATTTTAGATTTAAATTTTATAATTTTAGAAATAAATCATTTTAGATAAAAGAAATTTGTTTTATTTTTACTTTTTTATAAATAACAGGTCTACAAAAAAAAACTTTTCTTCTGTTGCATGAGATATTTAAACTGCTTTTTATATATTTTTAAACGCTGAATCCAAATTTTTGAATCCTGAATCTGTTTTTGTTGGCAAGCTCTAGTTTTTTTGTAATAACCAGTTTTTTAATTAAAATTATGATTTTCATAGGTATTTTTATTCAATAGTTGTAAAAAAAAGTAACTGTGTCATTGTTTTTATTAGATCAAATAAATAACATGATAAATAAACGTCATGATAAATAACCATAATGGCTTCTTCAAATCGACATAAGTGCAAGCATAATCCTAACTCATTCTGTTATATCTGTGGTTGCTATTCACTTGTTCAACAAAAAAAGACATAACATTACTAACTTTGTAAAACTAGCATATAAATCATATTTCGATATCAAACTTGGCGACCTAGACAAAAAGTCTTACCAGCATTTCTTCTGCTATTAGATTAATTCAACATTCTAACGAGTTTTCATTTCCAATTATTTAAGGTTTAATTTTGTCAGAAGATAAACAAAACTACAGAAACAGAAGAATTTTTACTCGATTTTTACTTCTCATCTAATGGTAAACAATTCAATTTGCCTCAGTGTTTATGTCAGATAGAACTGAATGACTTAGCGATTTAGGACTTTCTAAGCAAGCAGTAGAAGTATTAGCGTCACATTTAAAGGAAAAAAACCTGTTTGATAGCTTTGCAAAGGTTTTTTTACTATAGAACAATAGATGAAACCTTTGTTAACTTTTTTTCAGAAGTCAATTTATTTGACTTTAAAAAAAAGTTAACAAAGCTCAAAGCAAAGCCTCAAATGCGTCATATTGCACAATTGAACCTTTTTTGGTTTGGTCATTCTGTTTATTTGCGAGAAACTTACGATGACATTAAAAAGGTGCTTAACTTGATTAAATATCACGTAGATCTAAAAATGGTTAACTTTTTACTTGATCAGCAGAAAAGTCTTACAAAGTTTCCATGTTATCTCTGTATGTTTCCATGGTTTCCATGTTATCTCTGTATGTCGGACAGTCGAGCAAGAAATCAACACTGGATACAAAAAGAATGGCACATTCCCGAGACTCTTACAACGGACATGCACAATATTGTGAATGAACCCATTGTTAGTCAAAATGAAATAGTTTTCCCACCACTCCATCTTAAACTTGGATTCATGAAAAAATTTGTTAAAGCACCTCAAAACTGATAGTGATTATTTTCAGTATGCAGTTACATCATAACCAGATTTGTCAATAGAGAAAAAAAGGCAGGATTTTTTTAATGGGTCACAAATTCTTATAAAAGATGAAGAATTCATTAAAACAATGAGTATCAAAGAGAAAACGGCTTGATTGTCATTTGTGGTTGTTGTAAAAAATTTTCTTGGAAATAAAAAAGCAGAAAACTATTTAATAGAAAAAAGAAAACTTTAATAAAATGTTGAAAGCTTTTTGTGATCTTGGAAAAAGAACAAAAGTTTCTTCCTGATTAAACTATTGTAACTAAACAATCTGCAATATTTTTTAAAACTAAAGTAAAACATGATTTTGTTATTAATCAATAAAAAGTTAATAACTTTGCTAGAACTTGGATAATTATAAAATGTTTATAAACAGTTCCCATTTTATTTTCATCTTTTGTTTTAGTTTTATAAACAACTTTTATTGTAAAAAATATATTCTAGCTATATTTTTAAATCAGTTTCAAATCTGTATTTAAGAACTATTTCTAATGTTTTGCAAAATAAAAAACATTTATTGCAAAAAATCTGTAGTAATCCATAAAAATCTGATGCCAGATTTGAATTCAGTGTATCAAAATTATGAAAGAACAAGTGTCAAATTTAATGCAATAAATTTTTTGTAGATCTGTCTAATAGATATAAACAATATTAAATTTCAATTGGTTTTTATTTTTGTTGGATGTTTTATTCCAGGTAAATCTGAAGAAATAGAAAAAAAAGAAAGCACTTCTATTGCTCAGGACGAGATCATGAGTCTGCAGTATCGAGTAAGTTTTTGTACACTGTACACAAGTTTTCAGTATTGAGTGCACTTCAATACGGCAAACTTGTGTGTGTGTGTGTGTGTGTGTAACTATGCATACATACATGTACTTGCCTTTTTTTTTAATTTGAAGTTGTTGTTACAACCCTCTCTCAACCCTTTAGCTTCAAAATACACTTCAATAAGTATATTATATATTATATATAATAAATATATATTATATATAATAAATATATATTATATATAATATAATAAGGTGGCTGCACAAAGAAACAAGTTAAGATGTCTCAAAGTCACTCTTCTATATGCACACATGCACTAACTAAACAACTAGTATTTAACCAATAGTTGCATTAGTTTTTGAAACAAAATGCTGCTTTATTGTTATGTTAATTGCAAGTAGTTATTGAAAATTAAAAAATTTGCTGTTTGTAATAAAAAGTAGTCTGTGTAAAGATATTAGAAGTATGTGAATTTAGAAAAAAATAGGTTTTAGTGCGATTATATGATGAATTTAGTGTAATTATAGGATGGATTTAGCGAGAGGATGGTTTGAACCGCATAAATTTGAACAAGGAGAAATTAAGTGCAAACTAGGGGTAAAGGCAAGACAAGTTAATTAATTAATTTGATTGGTTGATTCAAAAAGTTGACTATCTGAGTAAAAAATGAGAAAGAAAAAAAAATTGAACATTAAAGCCAGCAGAATCGGTGCTACTAGAGCCATTCATTCAGTGTGATGAGCATTATAGTCACCAATAACAACAACATTTGCAAACAGGCCAAGAGCTAAATTTATTAAATAAAAATTAACATCAATATTATAGAACAAAGAGAAACCTTTAAGAATAAACAAAAAAAAAGTTTTAAACATAATTATATAAAGAAATAAGGTATAAGAACATATAAGATGAATCAGTGAAATTAAAACGGATTTCACAACAAATAGATGATTCAGTTTATGGCCAAGTTAAGTATGTAGCTATGATTACTGTTTTCGAATGAAAGAATAATAGCCATCAATCATGATCTCTAAAAATAAAACAAATTTGAACTTGTTTTGAAAATAAAAAAATGACTAATGAATTGTGCTAGAGTAAAGATTTAACAGATGCAAAGTTGCTTTGTACATCACAACTATTTGAAAAGAGTAGATTGAAACAATAAAAATGGCTTTTTTTTGTTTTATAATTTTAGGTTATGTTTTTTTGTTTTATATTTTACAGTTATGTTTTGAATTATTAGAGCTCAATCATAGATAATACATTTATCTCAATCATAGATAATACATTTATCTCAATCATAAATAATACATTCATCTCAATCATAGATAATATATTTATCTCAATCATAGATAATACATTTATCTCAATCATTGATAATACATTTACTTCAATTTTAGTAATATATTCATCTCAATCATAGATATTACATTTATCTCGATCATAGATAATACATTTATCTCAATCATAGATAATACATTCATCTCAATCATAGATAATATATTTATCTCATAGATAGTATATGGCATCTTAAGCAACAAGCTTTACAGTTTCTTTAGTTCTGCTAATCAATCAAAAGTTGATACATAGGGCTCTCTATGTGGTCTTGTCAATTCAAACCAAATTATGTCTAAAATATGTTATGATTTTATAATAACTATGTTTCTAATAATTTGTTATTGATTTCACTAAAGAATTTTTTTGTTTTTTGTTTTTTTATAGTCTTACCAAGTTTTGCTTATACAGCGATTATTAGTAACAACTGAAGTATCACTTGGAATCCACAGTCAGAACATTGAGATTGATCCTGTTTCCCAAGTGAAATCACAGAAATTCTGGACTAAAATCAAACCAGTAAGTTGTTTTAAGATCAATTATAATTACTGATCGATAAAAGTTAGTCACAGTTTTAGATAAACAAAAATGTAAAACAACGAAGGCAACCAAAATTCTATGTTTTTGTTTAAATCCAATACGTTTTGATGTATTTTGTGCAATATATGATCACTAATCTATTCGATGTTGTTTTTACTAATATATTTATAGTAAAAACAACATAGAATTATACAAGAGAAACTTTGTTTTGTTTTATCAGGGCCGACGATACCGGGGGGCATGGAGGCACGTACCCCTCCACTTTTTTCCCTAAAGGACGTTTGTTTTTTTTTAAACATAAGAAAATTCTAGATATAGACGACTTTTTTTAAGAAATGACGGTTGTGTCCCCCCCCCTCTCCTATTTCGAAACCCGTGTCGTCGACCCTGTTAATAATGTGATAATTATAATAATTAATTATTATAATTATCATAATAATTTATTATTATAATAATTAATTATAATTACATATTATATTATAATACATATTAATTAAAGTAATTTTTTTATATTTTTAATTGTTTAATAAAAAATTGAAAAAACTGTGCTTTTTTTTTAGATTTCTTTGCCTGTTGATATCATTGCTGACTGTGAAATGGTGGATGAAAAGCCAGGACGGCGTGCTGTGTTTCGCATTTACTATAAAAAAGCAGATTATTTCAAACACTACGAGTTTGAAAGCTCTGTGGAAGTTGCTAGTAAGTTGAAAGTCAAATTGAAAGTAAAAAAATGCTACTCAGTGTTCTTCTGAGGCCACAAACTTTGATCTCCTCTAAATTTTTTTGCTTAAGTATTTATAAGGAATATTTTAGCTATGAAGACCACTTTGCATTAAAAATTATGACCTTGATGAACAAGAGTGAAGATGAAGCTTGAAACATTTTGTTTATGAAGATTTTTACTACTATATATAAATTTAGACTACCGCATATAAATTTAGACTACCGCATATAAACTTAGACTGCTGCATATAAATTTAGTTTAATTTTTTTTATTTATAACAGCTAAGTTACCAAATCAAATAAAAATTTTTTTTTTTTTTTTTTTGTTATCATTTTAGTGATTTTAATAGTTGGTTTTTCATTATTTTGAAATGATATAGAGGAGGCCGGGGCAAGATACCTCTGTTTTTACTCTTTGAGATTTGTAGCTCTAACGGCAAATATTTACAAAAAAAATATTTACTGCGCAATAATATTTACAAAAAAATTTTTTTGTAAATATTATAGCGCAGCCTTAGAATAACTTCCTTTTTGACTTTCATTATGAAAAAAAATTTCCTGGAGCCCTTCTGGGGCCTTAAAAAAAATATATCGGATATCCGGTTTTACCTAGTTTAAAACTTTCCAACTTGGAAGTTTTAAACTAGGTAAAACCGGATTTTGGAAGGATAAGCAAAACCGGTTATCCGGTCCAATTTGTTAAAATCTGAATCCGATTTTAACAAACCGGACCGGATATCCATCCCTAACGTAAACTCTATAAATCTAATTAAAAGAAATTAAAACATTGAAATTTTTTCTTTTTAGGTAGGTTTATAAACTTATTAGAGACTGTCGTTATAACTGCTAAAGATTATAAATGGAAATAAAAAATAAGGAACTACTAAATTAATTTTTTAAGATATACTTTACTATATTATAACTATACGCGTTTACTAAAAATAACATCAAGGAAATTTTTCCCTGTTAGTTATATATATATATATATATATATATATATATATATATATATATATATATATATATATATATATATATATATATATATATATATAATCTTTTTAATGTTATAATTGAATTTTTGTTCAAAAGTTTAGATTTTAAGCAATTTATGAATAATAAGTTAAAATAAAAGCCAAAATTCGTTCTAGCGGCCTCAAAAGAGCACACGATATATAATTTTTGATGTGTGTCATAAATTAATTGTTAATATAAAAAACTGTTTGATAAGGTTGACCTCTCAATTGAAAGATCTAAAGGTACTGTTTTTTTCGGTAAATTAAAATTAATCAATTCCTAAAGCTAGGACCATTAATTATAGGCCATATTCAGACTCGATGAAAACATATTCTCTGGCTAAAATGCCTGTTTTAATATAATTTTAAACCTTTTGATTTTCGCATGCTTTTTATAGCGCTTATGACTGTTTCTTTGTCCTAGGAATATTCATATAAATATTTTTAAAATATTTATTAAATTTAAGTTTTAGTTAAATTTTGATTTTTAACATCCTATTATTTTTTTATGCACCCTAAACTATTGTTTTTACTTATCTTTATTGAACACCCTAAACTGTTGAGTTAACACTTTATTAACTTATGTTTTAAGACGAAATCGAACGCAAGATAAGAAACATTCTCAAGTCTCGCCCACAAGCTGTACGCAACGAGTTTCTCATAAGCAAAGAGAGAAAACAACGCTCGATTGATAAAGTAAAAAAGAAGTGATTCTCAATTGATAATAAGCCTCAACCAGCCAAACTTTTGGAAGTGTTTTGCGTTTAAAGATTAGTTTCCAGCCAAGGTAATTTGTGTGATTGCTACTATAGTAATTAAATAAGATGGAAACGTTTGAACTTGTGTATGGACAAAGAACTAAAGTATGGGAGTATGATGACCAAAAATAAATTAAAAATAAAATGGATGACGAACTAAAAATTTAGCAATTGATATAATTTAGATAAAACTTTTGATATTTTGTGTATACGTGTTAAACGAGCTAAAAGATTAGCTGTGCTATATAACGTTTGTTAATAAAAAATAATAATTAAAAACATAAATATAAAATTTATTTTTATAGCCATATTTTGGTGGTAACTAGTGTATGATTTGTTTAAAGCTGAAATATATAATTTTTTTTTTTTTTTTTTTTCTAGTTTGTTTTTTTATAGACCTTTTAAAATAAGTTTTCAAGGTATATTACCTTATTAAATCACCACATCCAAGTAACATATAGGGTTCTACTTAAAAAAATAAAAACTTTGAGTTACTTTTAACGTTTTGGAGATTTTTTTTTTATGGCTTTCCTAAATAATTGAAAATAGTTTATATTAAATAAAATTAAAGTTTAATAAAATTTATATAGGGTTGTAGTTAAATTTTACATAATTCAAATTTAAAATAATATTCAAATTAAAGGATTCGGTATTGTATTTTTTTAATTAGTCGTTCAAAGTTGCCGTTTTGGTGGTAGCTTTGAAAAAAAACCAATCGGGATTCACAAAAGTTTGTTATTACAAAAATATTGTAATATAATTTTTTAATGAACACCCAATTAGTTTAATAGTTATATTTTGTAAAGAGCTGCGTAGTTTCAATGCTTTCATCAACATCTGGAAAACGATTGAGAACAATACTTGCGTTTAATGGGTATATTTTTATATATATATATATATATATATATATATATATATATATATATATATATTTTTAAATTATACTAAATTTTTGCTTAAGAGTATATTTATTAACATTTTATGTTATTTTAGACCTTTAATTTTTCACTGCGCAAAGACAACTTGACATACTATAAATTCGATTTAAAATAGTTTCTTTTCAATATGCATTATGCCAAATAACCTTTTCAACTAACTGGGTCCTATTTGCAATCTTTCCGATGGAAAAATTTCTTTAATATCTACCATATATTTTCCATAGGGTTTAAATCGGGCCCCAGCCTAAGTTATATAAATTTTTTATGTAAGAACTGCTTGACTACAGTGCTGGCTATGCCGATGGATTGTACTTTTGAAAAATACTGTCCCTGACATCAGGACGCCAACTTCATTGAATGCATATGTAAGAATATTTGACTATCTCGTTCTCTATTATCTTCTGGAACTTTATTTCATTTTTTTTTTTTTTTTTTAATAGAACTTTACTAGTCTAAAAATCAATGTTATGTAAAATACAGATATGATGAATAAAATAAAAATTTTTTTGTATTTAGTTTTGAAAAATGTATGCTTTGAGAAGGGGATTGATTTTGTATGAATGCGTACGTATGCATAAAGAGTGAGGGGTTGTTGAAAACATACAGTTGCGTACAGTTACTAAAACATGCAGCTACTGCCTACCTTCTTTATGGATGCTCTTGAGCACTGATTTTACGGTAAATTTTTCAACAAATTCATCATCGTCATTAGAACCTCAACAAAGGAATGTTGTTATTGGTTGTTTTTTAACCGTTCAAGTATAATTAAGTTAATTAAGTATAATTAAGTAAATTAACTCTTTTAAAAAAATTAATCATAGTGTAATTACACTATGACAGTCTGAACCCTGATACATACAAAATAAATGAACATCATATACAGACCCTGATGATTTAGAATTGACAACTTCAAAATGGAATTTCATATACTTCCCACCCTTATCCCCAGCAAAAAGGAGCCATACCTCTTCGCAAAAACCGACATCAGAATTGAAGTGGTCACGAACGTGCAGACTATTGAAAACCTCTTCAATATAAGTTATCAAATTCTTGACCATCAATACAGGTACTAAACAAGGTGCTTCATTCGCAGATGGATAAAGCAACATGGACTTTACAGTAACATGTTCTTTACTAACATGCATTGTCCGCATTTCTTGTTCTTGTCTTATCTTGGGCTCAGATGGGAGAATACTTGCACCAAGATTACACAGAATACGTCTTAGCCTACGGAATTCAGCCGTGGGCATCCTTAATTGGCTCTGCAGCTCTACAGCATCAGAAACATTTAACTGCCTAACTAAACCCAACTTATTTGCAACACAATGAAACATAGACTTTTCACAAGACACAGAATCACAAAACAACATAGACAAATCACTTTCCAAATCTGAACAAGCTAATAATCGAAGGAATATAAAAGCAAGTTTAGATTGTCTAGCTGCAGCATGCCTACCTAACTTAGAATAAGATTTACCATCTCCTAACTTAATGTAAGTATATTTCTTACCAACTATTGGCTTTTTAACTGATATAGTCTGTGGATTACTTAATTTAAACCCACAGAATAATTCAGAGGAATCAATGTTGTCATAGTCTAAATAAGAATCAACGACAACTAAACCCTTATCACTGCTAGCAAAATATTTGCAAATTTGGCAACTGTTCTTGTTTATATCACTGATTTTTGCATTTTTTTTTTTCAAATTTAAATTTTTTTAGCAATCTTACATTTTTGGCACGATCAGATGCAAATTTACGGTGTGCTGTTTTTAATTTTTTTTTTTTTTAAAAGTTGGAACTGCTCCTCCTGTTTTAGCCTAATACTCATAGTCTCTAATTGAGAACTTAATGAGTTACAATGTGCGTTGAGAGCCTTGTTTTTAGAATTTAAATATATAACTTCAGTTTCCAACTTTGATACCTGTATTTTTAAATTATCTATTTGCTCCACATTTTTTTTTTAGAAATTAATTGTTCAACTTGACTACTTTGTTCCTTATTCCTATTTAAAATATAAAAATTATCTGCATCTGCTGATTTTTTTTGTTTTTTTGTTTGTGGAGCTGGAGACAGTTGCATTTTAAAAAATGCTTCGTTTTTTGAAGCTTCAAAATACTTTTTAGAATCTTTTTTTCTTTGTTTTATTTTTCGGCACATTTTATTTAACACATCAATATTAGGCATATTAAACTCAATTGGCAAAAGAAACCTTAAAAAAGTAAACAACGCTTTTGGATGAAAAACTGTTAATAAAATTGAAATCACATTGTTAGTGATCTTACTAGTGTCAATTACTCGCTTTACAAAATTAAAGTTATACTCATTTTCCCAACCATCTTCCCAACCGATGTACAGTTTCAAAATTTCCCTCTCAGTTGCATACATCACATAAATAATGATAATGATATTATAATAATAATATAATAAAAGAATTTAAATAAAATAATATTTACAAATAAATACACTAAAAAAAAAAGAATTAAGCAACTTATCTGAGATTAGTCGAATATCCACGAGGAAATAATCCACGAAACTTTGCTTTATAATCTTTATTGATATAGTAATAAAATTATAATACAAACAACTTAAATAGAATAATATTGACAAACAGATGCACTAGATAAAATCGGATTAATCAACTTATCTGAAATTAGTCAAATATCCAAGAGAAATTAATCCTCGAAACTTTGTTATTTATTCTATAAAATGTGTCTCGTTTGTTTTGTAATGCATCCGATAATCGTTGGGGACGTAACGATCAGAGTTTGCGTCACCGCTTTAAAATGTAAACAAGAATTTATGCAAAAAAAACTAAAAAAAATGTCGCTAAACATGCCAAGTTTGAAAACATATTTGATAACATAGCTAGAGGTACAGAAAATAATTTTTTGATTTTCTTATTCATATAAGGTTGAAGTATTACTAAATCCACAGACTTTTCAAAAATGTTATGTTTTTTATTCAAAACGAATAAAAACAAAAATATAAATGCATTAAAAACTAACTTTCTATATAAAAACTTGCAAAGTCTGTGGAAATCTAGATAGAACAGACATTCATTAATAACTGTTCTAAATTTCAACCATCGACCATGTAGCTATGTTATCGAATCTTAGTTGGCCTAAGACAGGCTTTGCGTAAAAATCCCAAAAATCAGAAAATTGATGCCAAATTATTAACAATATTTTTACAGCTTTCATTTTTATTCCGTTTAATGTAAATGTTTATTTAACAAGGAAAGATAGATCTTTTATATTTTTTTTATTTGAAGATGAAAGCATTTATAAAAAAAAATTACTATTATTTTAAAGTTAATGAATTTTTATTTTTTTTATGCGGAAATACTTTTTTTTTTGATAAACTCGTGACGTCAGGCTCGCTTTTATATTGAGTGAAACAGCCGTGGTAAGTGAGTAGTTTAATTCAAACATTTTAAGATATTTTTTTAAGTTAAAAAATCGTATACAATATGTTAAAAATATTATTTATAATAATATTTTTAACATATTGTACATTTATCATTAACTACCTGGGAACAAATATTGTTATATTTATCATTAACTACCTGGGAACAATTATTGTTACATTTATCACTAATTACCTGGGAACAAATATTTTTACATTTATCATCAACTACCTGGGAAAAAAATCTGTTTATTTATTCTCAAGTTCATAATGACTGACGAAGACTCTTACATAACTTTATAGATAATTTTTAATTATAAATAAACTTTATAAATACTTGTTAAGACTTAAAAAACTTATTGTAACTGTACAATGGCTAAAATAATGTTTTTACAAAGATGCCTGGCTACGAAAATAGCTGTTTTACAAATGGTGGCATTTATTGATGTAGACGATATTCATTTAATACACAGTTTAAAACTACTTATAACCAGGCTTGTGGGGCCGACTTTTTTTTACGGCTTTGGCTCCTAAGGAACATCCGGCTCCTTAACTTTATGAACAAAAATCGCAAGTTTTAAAATATTTTTTTTGATCACATTTGCCAATCCAAAACTATACCAATTACAGCAATTATTTTTTAACCAACTCATGATTTTAAGGTTATTGTATTACTATCACTACTCTACTACAGGATATTACATTTAAAAATAAATTTTTTGGGGTAAATAAACACTTTTCAATACATTATTTACCCAAAACTAGAGTTTTTGGTTCAAATTTTAGTTCTAATTCTACCTAGGGAAGACAGTACTTAAAAAAGACATCTATTGACAGTCCCAAAGACGTTTAAAACGTTCAAAAGGCATCCCAAACGTTCAAAAGACGTTTAAAAGACGTCTTTCTTACTATCTAATCAAATCTTTAAATTTGTATTTATTGATTTGCCAATTTTACGCAAATATCCTTTGTCAATTCCCCAAAATTTCTCAATGGGACGGAACTGTGTCCAAATTGATGGATT